TTACTGTGATTCCCTAGAGGTTATGGGTGTTGTCCTGGGTGTTCCCTACCAAAAGCCAATTCAGGGGGCTGCCAAACATTTCCCAGCTGCCCCCAGCCTTCTCTTCATCCTCCTCTAGACTGATGGAGGATAACATGTCCTGTGTGAAAATAATTTCTGCCCTTACTGGATCCCATTCATAAGATGGAAAGGAAATTCCTGTTGCCAAACAAAGAGTTGTAGCAGACTGTTTTTGTGGGTCAGGACACCTTCCCCTTCCCTGTCCCAATGGGAACAGTTAATTTTGCCTGCTTACACAGCCAGAAAAGAATTTTTGCAGGATCTGAGAAATATTAACCCCTTCACCTTGCGAATTCTGCTCCTATTTCTACAGAACCGGAGTAAACAAGGAAATGTGCAAGGTTCTCTGTGGCTCCAATACAGACTGCTCCATGGGACTGGTGTTCAGTGGTCCAAGAGCCAGGGATCATTGGCCTTTTTTCAGGAGCCCCTCTGGGTTAAATCCTCTTTAGTGTCAGGAGATGCTGAGAGCATGGCCTGGTACCTGGCCAGGCAGCTGCCTGCCCGGGGAGGCCCCATGTCACACAGATGCTTCTGGGCAGGGGACAAGACAAATGTCCAGTGAGAGACATAGGGGTAGTCAGCAATAGAAGAGGGACAAAGGACCACAGCTCCAGGGCCTTGCCTTGAAATACCCTCTCTGGAGGCTGTGCCCACATGACCCCAAGAGGTGAGGCAGGTCTTCTCAGTTTTCCTGTTGGCCTCAAGCCTCTGTCATCTGCAAGTTTTACTTGCAGGTGAGGTCCCCTCTCATGTTGTTGCTCTTCCCAGATCTGTCTTTTGGGGCTGTGGTAACTTCCACAACCTGCAGGAAGCACTCCAGTGAAAAGACACATCTGCTTTCTAACGTGTTCCACGGAGCACTACATTTCAAAGACTGCACCCCCTCCCTGCCCATGTGCCTCCTGTGTTCCCCATGCTCTCCATCCCCCCGCTCTCTTGCCATGGACTGGCTGAGAGCATGGGATTTCCCAGAGCTTTCCTGAGTTATTTTTAGTCACTGCAATAAAGAGAACGGCTAGTTTGCGTTGCTATTTTTATAGTACTCATCAAAATGCTGTTGCTGAATATCTGGTGGCTGCTTGCTTCCACTCCTGTGCTGACTGCTCCTCTTTCTTTCCTGTTGCAGCACTGAAAAGCCCATCCACATTCCATGAACAGCGAAAAAGTCTGGAGCGAGCCAAGGTAACTCCTGCAGCCATCCCAAGGAGGGAACACGTGGGCTTGGTTTGCATGAGTTGCAGGGTTTGAAAGCACCTTCCACCACTGTCTCCTCCTCTGGCATTGTCTATTCAGGCCCTGTGGCCAAGGATGAGGGTCAGGGCATCTCCCCCACTTCCAGATATGGTGGGGCCAAGCCAGGGTTCACAAATGCTCTCCAGCACCCTGCTCTAAGCAGGGAAGGTTTAAAAGGATGGAAGTGCCATCTGTGCCCTGAGCTATGGGGTTTCACAACAGCCCCTGAGTTTTACAAGAGGTTGTGGGCAGGGTGTAGTTCAGCATGAATTGGCAATCCTTCCAGTAAATGTCCAACCAGCTGAAGTGCTGTTTTCCTCTCTGAGCCAGGTCCGCAGCCCACTCCTCTCTGTGCTGGCTGCTCTCCACTCCTGCTCAAGTCAGCGGGGTTAAAGCAGGGCCAGCAGTAAACAGGGCTGATGGAGCCTAACTATTTAGCAAGTGCGTGGGAGGAATGCAGATGCCCTTTGTAACCGGGAGTGAGTCCTCAGGGAGCTCACACTTGTCATCAGACAGGAGCCTGGCTTTTAGCTCGGCAGTGCAGCTTGGCCATTATGACACAAATTGTCCTAGGGGCTAAGTGGGCAGGCTCCCACCAGCCCCATTATCTAACTGCACTCAGACTTCCCTAAATATTGCTGAAGGCAGAGATAAGATATGTAGCCATTTCCAGAACACATCAAAACTCTGTGATGCGATCACTTTTTGGGGAAATCACACTAGTTTTCCAAGCACCCGCCATCCAGCCTTGACCAAGCTGGAGGGATGTCCATAGAAAAGGGAACAATCAGTCATGGGAGTTTTGCTTGAACACAAAAGTTTGTTCCATTAATCTGCAAAATGTGCTTGCAGTCACATGGAAAAGGACCTTTGCAAAGAACAATGATGGTGAAATATGGAAAGTGCTCTTCTGAACTTAAACACACTCCAAATCACTTGCCCCGAGTCTCCTGTGGTAATAAATGGCTAGCATAAGAAACACAATATGACTCTGAAAAATTAGCATGCTTACAAAATTTCAAGCAAGCCAAAGTGTCCTTGAAGTGTCATATATTTTACAGTTTAAGTATACATTTGTGTCTCTTTGTCTTTCTCTTCAAAAGCTTTCACTGGCTAGTTGCCTGGGAAAAAGGAAAGGATGGTCTAGTCTATCCCAAACTGCATGCATTTTTAGAGCATGCTAATGAAGACACTAATGAGCGCAGCCCATAACAAACATAGAATCATAGAATCATAGAATCATCTAGGTTGGAAAAGACCTTTAAGATCATCCAGTCCAACCATTAACCTACACTACCAAGCCCACTCTAGACTAATCAAGGGTAGACCAGACTAAACCATATCCCGAAGTGCCACATCTACCCGTTTTTTAAACGCCTCCAGGGATGGTGACTCCACCACCTCTCTGGGCAGCCTGTTCCAATGCCTGACCACCCTTTCCGTAAAGAAATTTTTCCTAATTTCCAGTCTAAACCTCCCCTGGCGCAGCTTAAGCCCATTTCCTCTTGTCCTATCGCTAGCTACTTGGGAGAAGAGACCAACACCCACCTCACTACAACCTCCTTTCAGGTAGTTGTAGAGAGCGATAAGGTCTCCCCTCAGCCTCCTCTTTTCCAGGCTAAACAACCCCAGTTCCCTCAGCCGCTCCTCATAAGACTTGTTCTCCAGACCCTTCACCAGCTTCGTTGCCCGCTTCATAATACTCCTTTGCAAGGATGTCCTGCTTAGCGCTGTGACAGGGAAGGAGCAGTGGCTGTTTCTATATAATTACTCAATGGCATTTGTTGTTTAGCTGGTATTTCTCCAAACTCATGTTCTGCAAACAGAAAGCAGATAACAGTAACCACTTTCATGTGTTTTGAAAGCTCTTCTGCTTCAGCTGACACTAAAAAACCCCACATCTGAAGTCTTTCTCCACCATTTGCACCCTAGTGACAGAAATGCAGCTTATAAACAGCAAATGTCAAAAGGAACCGAAATCACAGCAGAAAGTCAGGCTAATATAGTGTGAATGCTGGGTTCAACACAAACATTGCCACATCTATAGGACAGCAACTCAAGCTTAGCCCAAGTCAAGACCTGATCTAAGAGTTAGCTGGAAATGCATCAGCTGAATTTAATTGCACTCAGGTGCAGACACCAACTTGCTCTGACCTGGCATGGGAACCAGACAAACCTACACAAGGTCCAAGCAAGGGATTGTGTTGGTGAAAATAAACTGGGGAAAAATATGGGGGAAAGGGAAAGGAATCGTAAAGACTTCAGTAAATAAAATGTCTATTATTTGTTTAAACATGTCACTGGCCATGTTAGAGGCTGGCATCAGGCCAGTGCAGCAGACTTTGAAGTCAATGTCCTATAATAGATTGCTGTATTGGAGGACAGAGAGCAGGCTGACTTTCCTGAGGCAGTGTGGCTCAGCAGGGCTTTAACATTTACTCCCAGCACCCCAGTAAGCATGGCAGGGAGGGTGTGTGGGGAACAGCTGTCGTGCCTCTGCCCCATAGCAGAACAGCCCCATACGGGTCATTCCTGACAGATGTGTGACCACCAACGGACAACCCACCCCCCAGCAACCTGCTCCAGTGCTCTCTAACCTGTGCTGTTAGCAAGTGTCCCCTGATTCCCAGCCTAAGCAGTACTGTCAAAGTTTAAGCCCATTACTTTTTCTCCTATATGCATGCACATGCAGAACTGCTTTCTTTCTTGTAGCACTTTTAAAAAGTATTTTGCATCCCGTTTCCCTATAGCCATCTCACCTCTGTATTGACCAACGTCCCCTCCCTTCAGCCTCTCCTCACTGATCCCCTCTCTGGTTCAATAATGATTTCTGTGGCTGTTGTTCAGACCCTTCCCATGGACCCTTTCAGATGCAGGGCACAGAATGGGGCCTTGCTATTCCTACGGCCCATCTGACAACCTTTGTTGTGTCTCCTAGAAAGCTGCCTGCTGGTCGGGGGATGTGGCTCAGCTGCTGATCACTAGATTCTCCAGAGCCTTTTATATATTTTTTTTCTCTATTTATGGAGTAACTAATTTCTGTCTAAGGCCACTGTCCAGTGACCACTACAGAAGAATCTCTGGTGAATTAAGTCTTTGTCCACCCCAGTGCTTAATCAGCTGGCTTAGCTGTGGCTAACTGTGACCTGAATGCAGTCCTTTCCAAATGTCCTTCTTGAAATTATATCAGATGTATTTCAGATCATTTCTTCCATTACTCCAGATCTTGTTGCATTGTAATCTGTTAGCCTTGAATGATTCAGAGTTAAGGAGTGTGTCTTCTATCACCCAAGGCATTAATGAATGTATTGACTAGTAGGAAAAAGTGCTGCGTAACATGATTTGATAAATTCTCCTGTTTAGACTGTGAGCCATTCCTAATTCCTCCGGTGACCCACAGCTACGTGCCTTTTTTATGTTAGTCTTATCCAGACCAATCTTCTCTGGCTTGCATATGAGAAAGCCATATGAGATAATGTCAAAACATGCTTGAAGTCAAGCTACATGACATTAATTGCTTATTCCTGTAACAGAAATCTGTCATCTCTCCATAGAAGGAAATTAGGTTGGTGTGATGTGGTTTGTTCTTGATTAATCCACCCTGGCTGTTACTTACCTCCTTGCTATCTTCAAAAACCATTTATATAGATTGTTTGATTACTTGGTCCAATATCTTGCTGACTGGTTTATAATTTCCTGGTTTCTTCTCCCCGTGTCTTTTAAAGCAAGAAATTATGCTCCCCCTTGCCCAGTTTCCTGGAGACCCACAGATAGTTCCTATTACTCTAGCCTTGTGTATCTCAAACTTTTTGGGAACATTTAACTCATCTGAGTATTCTCCAACCTGTTCTCCAACCTGAAAACTGGAGCTTCTTCTCTTTTATTGCTGAAGGTTCTTGGCTTAGTCATCTGATTGATAAATAGCCAATTATCTTTTTAGCGAGGATAGTTTAAAAAGGCATTAAATCCTGGAGCCATCTCAGCAGCTTGCACAATTATTTCTCCTGTTTATGGAACACAGACATCACTTTCCATTGCCTTGTCCCGGCTACAGAAGTCCTTATAAAATCTTTTTCTCATAATCCTGTACATTTTGTACTGTGGGTTTTCCAGTTTTCTCCAGCTGCTTGTACTATTCTTTTATATTTATCCTTAAGATTTTAACCTCTTTGAACTCTGTACAGTTTTTTCACTATTTCTTCTTGTATCTCAACTTTAGCAAACAGCTAATAATTTGTCCAAGTTGTGCTCTAACTTTTCTTCACCAGGGGACAAGTTTATATTTGTATTCTTGTGGTCAGCTGCCCTCAACACTGACTTCCTTGGCCCTAATGGATGGCGTTATTGTACTTCTGCATGCCTTTCTGTTCCTCAAGGCAAGGGGAAGTTGGCACAAGGCTCCAGGACCGTGTTCATCACAAGCTCAGCTGCAGTGATCTGCAAAGTGGATTTTCCCAACTCCACATCATAGCTGGGGTGAGGAACCACAGAGCACAGGGGCTGAAGGACTGCAGGAAGGCTAAGCCTCATGACTGACCTGGGTAGAGAGTTTGGGTATCTTCATGACTTGCTCAGCCTTATATTTCACCCCAGAGTGCCAGGCTTCCAACAGAAGCCATTGCCAACAGTACACTCTGGAGCTCCCTTGATGCAGCTCTCAAAGGCAACATGATATGCTAAGCTAGGAGCAGATCCACCACCCCCAGTGAATAGGTCTCATCCTTCCCGTGAGCTGTCATAACACTTCAGGCATCAGAAGCCCAAGGGAAATTGGAAAGAACACAGCTGAGAAGTGGGTATAGTGAACAGTCAGCAGCTCTATGCGCATTATTCCCTTTCTGAAGAACTTCTGCCTAAGAACAAGCCAGTGTCTCAGTGGAAAAAAAAAAAAAAAAAAAAAAATTGCCATTTAGGAGCTCACTCAACCCAGCTTGTAATAAATCCAAAAGAACCATTGAATGACACAGGGGCAGATACTCTCTGTACCTTATTGCTGCTCTAGCCAGGTAACTCTCTGCGTTTGTGTTCTGCAGACTGAAGATTATCTCAAGCACAAGATCAGAAGCAGGCCTGAGCGATCAGACCTGGTCAATATGCACATTTTACAAGGTAAGACTGTCTGAGCTTCTCCCACATACTCCTTGTGTCTCCTGCCTTGTGACTCAGGTCTCTCCTGCCCCACTTGGGTTCTCTTCAGGACTCTCATCATGATTAACTTTGTCCCAGCGGCTCATGAGAGGCAGATTCAAATGTGACACATGTATGAAATTCAGTCCAGACCTGGTCTTCAGGAGGCAGGACACACATTTATTCCCTGACAGAAGCAGACCCAAGGCCATCTAATCTTTGTCCCATCTCTGGCAGGGTCCAGTATAAGATGCTCTAGAGGACAGTGGGGTAGAGAACAGCTGTGAGAGAGGACTCTGTTAGACAGAGGTGCCAACATCTGATCCTCATGAAAAGCATACACGGGGCATTTGTTCTCCAGGATGCTGAAATCTCTTAGCGGGTGGCTTGCAATACCCCCCCACAGATGGACATCTTTTGTTTTGCCATAATTCTGGATATTTTATGGGATAATTCATGGTGATGCAGTCAATGACCCAAGCACAGCCATATGAAAAGGGTGAGCTATGCTGTCAGTCCATGAGCCACAGCAGCTCTCCCCTCTCCCATCCTGGTGTCCCCTCCCAGCCAGAGAGCTGGCACAGCTCTGCTGCATCCCATCACAGACAGCAGAACACTGTGGGGTCCCTTCTTATCTCCAGAGCTAACAAGCTCCTTAGAGACAGGGAGGATGTGCAGCCTCTCTCCTCGAGTCCTGTCAGTTGCCTGGAAGAAGCAGATCACTCTGGCAACTGTAAATGCTGGCCTCTGCTCTCAGCATGGATGATGTCCATATTTTTTTCCCTCCAGCACACAGGAGGGCTGAGCCAGGGACTTATGCCGGATCGGTGTTGCTGCCTTGCTTTTCCCTTGGGTCTCCATCCCTAAAATGAGCTAGCACCATTGCTTGGTTAACAGGTGGAAAGTGTCTTTCCCTTAGGTTAAATAATAGAAGCAATACAGACTGGAGTTGGGGCCTGGGGGCTGTAAACCAGGTGTGGAGGCAGCTGCAGTCACCAGGCATGGACAGGGCCAGCCAGACACAGCCAGAAGAGAGGTGAAGCAGACTGCCTGGCTGTGTATTGAGCAAGCTGACTGTGCTCCCCAACACACACCTCTCAGCCAGAGCATCTGCTCACACCTCTGTCCATCATGCTCTGCATTTTGTGGAGGTGTGCCCTGCCATATCATGGACTTACATATCCATTTGATTCATAACAGGACCTAGAGGTAATTGAAATTGGCCAGCTGAGACATTTTGCATCATCTAAAGGCACACCTTCTGTTACTGTTTACCTCAAGGAGCTCATGTGTGTTCATTGCCCTGTATAGTCTGAGGCCAGAATTGACCCTAGATCAGCTGTCCTGACCTCCTGCAGAGAATTTTTCCCTGGTATCAAGCCCTATAGCTTGTGTTGTTTACAGTATCTATTCTAGAAGAGTGTTCAGTCTTTGAAGATAGCACAACCTAGATGCAGCCCTTCTTACTTTAGACTCCTGAGGGTATAGGCGTGGTCTAGTTTAGAATCCCGCTCCCTCACTACTTATGCCTATGCCACCAGAGAAACTAGATCACCTTTGTTCAGGAAATCTTTCTGTTTAATTGACTACTCTTCAGTTACCATTCAATAACTGGGGACTTCTCAGCTGGGTTTGGTAGGGCTGTAGCTTCCAGATCTAGCTGCCTTTGTTATGCTCCTCTCTGGCTTGTTTTTCTCCTGAAGGTCTGGAGCACTGTAGTCATGCCACCTCCAAATGTCCATTCCCAAAGACTCAGCTTTTGATCATCCAGTGTAAGCCATTTACTCCAGCTGTCAAACACTGTTAATGGTTCTTTTCTCCAGCTGTTCCCCAGAAGTAGGGATCCATCTGCACTAGCCCACAAGGGCCAATGGGTTCCTGGCAGGCAGGAGCTGGAGTCCACTTTGACCCTCATGTTAGTTGCAGCTTGTTAATGAAGTTTCCATTGCAGATCATTCCTGGGCCTTGGGGAGGATGCTCCATGTGCAGGCTGGTTTTGCAAGCCTAGGCTGGTAGACAGAAGCTCTTGCTTGGGAATGGAGAAGCTGTACCTAAGGCTCAGAGGAGGAGCCATGTCCCAAACACCACCAGCCCCATCCAGCCCAGCTTCCTGCCTCCCAGCCTCAGAGCAGCTGCTGCTGTGTAGAGCCATACTTAGGTGTGGGCCGCAGCCCATAAAGGCTGTGCTGAAGGGGAAGCACATTCTCACTGAGCACTGAGCTTACAGATGCCCCAAGTCCTGAACTGACGCCTTCCATTTGGCCTTTTAGACTCAGCTGCAGAGGGGTCCATTCAGTCTACTCAAATGAAGCTGAAAAGAGCCCGACTGGCAGATGATCTCAATGAAAAGATTGCTCTCAGGCCTGGTCCTTTGGAGCTGGTGGAGAAGAATATTATTCCTGTCGACTCAGCTGTGAAAGAGGCCATAAAAGGTAGTGGAAGTAAACGTGCGTGTTATGTTGTGTGCATGGAATGGGGCAGGAGCTGGCAAAGTTATGAGGATGTACCGCAGCAACTGCAGGAAGTAACTGGCCTGGACTTAAGAGCTGCATTTATTGCTTAAATTTTATTATTTGCACAGTAAGCAGCCCAGTCCAGCACAGCCTGTGCTGTCTTATCCAGACCTATGAAAAGAGAGCTCTCATCTTCTTAGAGCAATGACCACAGAAACATGCACAATTGCTCAGCCATGTCTCCTCAGAAAGAACCTCCTCTTAAACCCCTTCCCTCCCCAAGGCTTTGTGCATGTAAATGATACTGCTGGAGAGAGGACATTCCTTCCTCCCTCGTGTGGGAGAGGACCTGGGTGCACATGTGTCGTTGTGAGGCCAACCTGGATTCTTCCACTTGTGCCCTGCCAAGCTTTTACATCCCAGTAGGTGGGGGTGAAGTGGCCCCAGTTCAGCAAGGCTGAACTTTTTTTTCCTTTTTTTTTCCACTGATGTTAGTGGTATGCAAGGCCCAAAAGAGAAGGATGCTGCATCACTGGGGTAGGGAAGCATCCCTGGGGTGCTAGACTGCTGGGGAATACGAGGAGCAGCCTGCACCCCAAAGCAGGGTACACTCCTACCTACCACTACCCAGCGCTTGACTTATGTCTAAGTTTGTTTTTTTTCCATCACTTACTTACCCCTCAGCCAGAGGAGGGAGGCAGAATCCTCCGCAATTATTACCCCTGTGCTGCCAGAGGAAGGCTGGTGGGGGAGCTGACACAAAGCAAAAAGGTGACTCAGATTTTGACTCAGCCCCCAGTGCCAGGACAGGGAGGTCCAAAAGAAGAGGAAGGAGAAAGAAAGTGAGCAGGGTCCTGCAGTGCCAGGACAGCAGCCCATATTTCTGAAGCCTGGGGCCATCTCCACTTGTCCAAATTGGCCCTTGGGTCTCAAGTGAGGCACTGAGAGATGCTCTGCCTCCTGGGAACTCCTTGTTCTGTTGCTCCTCGTTCCTCAACTCATGGGATTATTTCCATTGGCATAATCCTATGTTAAGTGCCTGTTCTGGTGCTCAGAGCAAGCTGGGGACAGTGGCAGGGCCCTGGGACAGGAGGGGTCTTTGAACGACAGGAGTGGTGCCAAAAATGAGAATTGAAACAGGAAGCACTTTGACTTTTGTTTCATCTCAGAAACCAGTGTAAACGACATGAAATATTCCAGGCTCAGATACCGCGCTGTCCTGCCCTGCAATTGTTCCTGCTCTTGGTTTTCCCACTGTGATGTGCAAGAAGAGTTCATAGAGCAGCTTCTCTAGGCTGGTTCTTGAGCTGCTCCATTTCCAGTATTTCACAGCTCTTGCATTTGAACGTGAAATGTTCCAGGACTCTGCGTGAAGATGAATTTTTAAGGAGAGTTCAAGTAAAAGCTCCCCAGCTACTTATCAAAGGAGAGAAGAGTGGGAAAAAAAAGGTTAAAAAAAAATCCCCCCCTTTATAAACATTCAAGGTAGTCTGAGCATGACTTTATCCACTGGAGCTGAGGCTTGGAGGCTGGGCAAATGTGCTTGATGTTTGAACAGAGTTTCTCTCCAGCTGCCTTGTCAGGAGCTTGTGGTAAACAGATTTACGGGACAAAATTGTTAAAAACAAAAAGTCTGGCTTAAAATTATTTGCTCAGTTTTAAATTTCTCCTTTTTGCAATGCTCTTCTATCACATTGCCGGTAAAAAAAAAAAAAAGAAAAAAGTGTCTTGTAAACCAGTTTTATCCCATTTAGGGTGAAACACACAGCACATTAGGGTCAAACATGAAGTTACTTAGTCCTGTTGGGTGCCATGAGAAGAAGGTGGTGCACCCACACCAGGAATACAATCCCAGCCCTCAGGTTTCTGTAGAAAAAATGCCCAGGCTGAAAGATCCTTGAGCTGACTTTTGGAGCCGGAGGTGCCTTGTGGTGCTCATGGTTTGGGGGAAAGGGCTGAACACAGAGCAGAGATGAGCACTGGCACTTCTGAGCGTTAAGCCTTTTGTTTTCGCAATACCAGAAAGATGACAGGTTTTAAAATCATTTTACTTTAACCTTGGAATCTCAGCTGTTTATACAGTGGAAAGTTCAGCTGACGTGTTCCTCTAATCACCTCCGGCAGGGTGAGCAGAAAGTGCCAGACCCCAACTGAAAGCCCTAACATCCCAGTGACAGGAGGCCACCAGTGCCCTACATAGCTGAGCAGTGATATAAGAACCTTTTTTTACTAGGTCCTTGTCATCACTTTGTCCAATACACTTGAGAGGACAATACCCAGTGCATTAGAAACAGGCCTGAGCAACACTATTTTGCCTGAGATTACAGCAGAGACATGGGATCATGAAAGAATATGGTCAGCCCCAGACTGGGCAAGAGCAGGACAGATAAGGGCAGCATTCCCCACCCGGCACAGGCCCCCGGTATCAAGCAGCAGGATGCAGCACATTCCTGTCATGCTCTGTGCTGCCACTGTGTCCTGAAGGTCCCCTGAGCTCCTGGTTTTCTCAACGCATGCTTATTAAATGCCAGCCTAGCAGGAGTCTTGCAGATCCACAAGTCCCCTTTGCTTGGTATCACTTTTCCCAGGCGAGGATGTCCACACTTGTCTGCAGCTCCGACCCAGCCCAGGTGGTAAACCATGCAGTGCTGCAGTTCCTCAGGGAAGACCCAGTTTGGGTGCTGCCTTTGATGGAAAGGGGGCAGGCCCTATTTCCAGGGACATATGAGGAACCCTTGCCCCGGAGACTGGGGAGGAGATGCTCTCCACAGGACACAGTTGCTCTCATATCCCCACCCCATATGGTGGCTGGGCAGCAGCTTGGGGTGGGGAGCCAGGGCTTCCTCACCCACCCTGGCACCACGAGCCAGAGCAAGCGGAGATAACCCTTATCTCTCAGATAGGGGCAGGGGTCAGGGCAGGAGAGTGTGTGTCAGTGAAAAGGCACACATTGCTAGACCAGCAGCAGGGACAGGTGGAAGCTTGTCCCCAGACCCCTCCTATTTCCCCATTTGTCACCTCACTATCGGCATGCCAAGCTGCCTGACAAATGCCAGACACGAGCACGAGGAGATTACAAGTGTGGCTGCACTGCTTCTTCCTCTACCCCTACCTGCAGCCCTCCCCAGGTTCACATGAGACCGTTTCTTTTTCAGCACTTTATTTATCAGCAAAAGCCAGGGGTCAAGAGCTCTTGCCCATCTGAGTAGGAGATAGTGTGTCGGGAGCTTTGCAGGGGGGAGAAGCAATGCCTGGGACGGTCAGGAGGCAATGGTAGTGGTTTGAAGCGTGTAGTGTGGGTGAAGCTTGTGGACAGAGACAGGATCTGGAAGCCTCTGTTCAGCTGCAGTCAGGTCCATGCATGTTGGTTTTTGTGCCATGAACAGATGTGTCACTCTCCAGGTGGATTTCAACCTCAGTTCTTCTGCTGAGGGCAGGGTCCCACGTGTGGTGTGGGCTTGGGGTCGGGGTGCTCAGCTGATGGGGAGGGTGACTCTAACGACCTTCTCCCCATCTCAGCCCAATGGTGGGGGAGGACAGCAGAGCCACTCTTGCGCCAGCCCCACCTGCCTGCGAAAAGCCTCCTGCCCCTGGTGGGCCAGGCTCCTTGGAGGCCTCCTCTCTCCCTCTCCCAAGCAACATGGCCCATGGCACAGGCTAGGAGCTGATGCCACCTCCTCTCCCACCAGCCTCAGCCATGGGGGCATACCCAAGAGATGCCCCTGCGCATGGCTGGGGACAGGAGGAGGTGCCTGAGCTCTCTGAGCACCATGTCCTTCACCCACAGCCAGGTCTGGCAGAGGTAGGCTCAGATGCAGAGGCATCCCACAAGGCTCACCCCAGCCCTTCCACTGCCATGCCCATCCCCCTTCCAGCAGGACAGGGCCCTGACAATCACCCTTTCTCTCCTGGCAGGCACCCAGGTCAGCTTCCCCAAGTCGGACGACGCCTTCGCCTTCGAAGAGGACAGCAGCAACGACGGGCTGTCTCCAGAGCAGGCCAGGAGTGAGGACTCCCCAGGTTCCACGGAGTCAG